TCTAAGGTCTGCCCAGCCTGCAGGGTTGACCCAGACTGGAACATAAGCCTGGCTGGGAGGAGGGGTCCTTTGCTACGATGTCAGTGTGTCTTAGGTTACCCAGTGGCAGGTCCCTTTAACACCACGTGCCAGGCACAGGGGGCCCTCAAGTGTTAGAATAAACAAATGAATACCAACTCTAGGGATGCAGGCTGATAGGAGCAGGGCTTCCTTCACACTTGCCCTTGATGGAGGGGAGCAGAGTTTTCCAAATGGACCTCTGAGGACCTCTGCTCCTAGTGCATTGACTAGAAGGGGTTGTAGGGAAAACACTGGATCAAACAAAGTAAAAGCAGGTCTCTTTACTCGGGGTCTTCTCAGGGCCTGAGATACACTGGGAGAGTTAAGATGCGGGCATAAGCGTGCAGCATTTTCTGAACTAACTCACTCGTGGAAAGCTCTGGGAGATTTCTATCAGTGGCTCATGGGACTAGTGTTCCACAGAACCCTGGTTTGGGAAACACCTCCCAAAGCTGCCCCCACGGCCCCCACGGCTCCGCAACGTCATCTCTCTGCTGCCTCCAGCGCCACGGAACATTCCTGCCTCCCCGTGCGCTTGCTAATGCTGTGCCTGCCGCCGAAATGCCCTCTCTCTTCCCCGCCCTCTCTCCGTGTTCTGTCCATCTTAAGTCCGGCCGCTCCACAGAGTCCCCCACGGGCCCCCCAGGGGGACTTCACCGCTTGCCGCTTTATCTCCTCAAAGAGATGGCAGCTGACGCGTGCTATCTCTTTGTGTCCACGGTGTAGCCCAGGTCCAGCTGGTGGTGTTCCAGGAGGGCGCGGATGACCAGTTCAGGCGGGGGGCAGGTGTGCAGACTCATCTCCCAGCCACCTTCTCTCCCCTGCAGCCTCCTGCTTGGCTCACTGGGTGCGAAGCAGCCAGACCCCACAGTCAGGGAGGAAATTTCTCCATCGCTGGGACCTCAACTCTCTTCCTCTGCTCCTTAATATGCAGGGAGCATGGACAAGAGGGAAGGGAACCAGCTGATCTATTTACATGTTCTCTTGCTCCCAAGTGAAACCAGGGGCATTTTCTTATTTAATTATTAATGCCCTAAATCAGATGGTGCCCGATACGTTAACCTCTGTCACTCCGAATGGAGTCGGCCTAATAACCACTGCGGCAGCATTGATTTTCCTTCAGTCATCTTGTGAGCATATGTCTTTGGGATCTAGCCTCTTGAGAGAGAGAGCCCCGGGAAGCCCCGTTAACGTGCATGGCGAGGGGTTTGCCCGCATGTGGGGGTGGCTCCCTTCTGGCTTCTCTTCACTCTGCCTCAAGTGAAGTGTCTGAGATGAGTAGAAAGCTTCTTCTCCCTCTTTTTTTTTTAAATACTTCTCAGAGAGAGAGAGAGAGAGAGAGGGACAGAGCAGGAGTAGGGGAGGGGCAGAGAGAGAGGGAGATAAAAAATCCGAAGCAGGCTCCAGGCTCCGAGCTGTCAGTACAGAGCCCGATGTGGGGCTCAAACCCACAAACTGCTAGATCATGACCTGAGCCGAGGTCGGCCGCCCAATCAACTGAGCCACCCAGGTGCCCCTAGAAATACTTCTTCTAAAACCAGTTACCAAGAGGAACTGACTGGTCTGACCTAGGACTTGACCCCGCCTTTGAGGCGTTATGCGACACATGAAGAACACAGGCTGGAAAAGCTGTCCATGTGAGATGGGACTTGGTAAGCGCTGGGCCGTATGGCCCAGACTCTAAGCTCTGTGAGTGTAGCGTGCCTGGCACCCAGTAGGTGCTCAGGCCCTGAAGGAGAGGAGGGGCTGGGGCCTGAGCTGGACCTTGAGTTGACGGTACTTGCATGTGTAAAGTTGACAATGTCGGGGCGTTGAGGACAAGGGGGCCAGTGTGAACGAAGAAAAGAGCAGGAGAGACCAGTGTGGCCCAGGGTGGGAAGTGTGGGTGATAAGGTTGCATCTTATAGATTGGGCCGGGTTCTGGGAGAAAGCGTGAGGGTGAGGGAACCTGAGGGGAGCCTTCCATGCTCAGGCTGGCCGTCCTTGGCCGTCCTTCTCAGCTCCCTTCCCACACTTCCACAGAGGCAGACTTGGCCTCAGATGGGGGACCACGTGGATGCTGGTGGCAGGGCTGTTCAAGGGTTGGGTGCGAATCCCCCCTGCTCTGCTGGCCTTCACGCCACAACACGGACAGAGGAGAGAGGCCGCCGAGCTGCCTGGGTCCTTGCCTCCTCTTCCTGGGTGCTTATCCAAACACCCGTTCCCGCCCCCACCCCCTCCTCTATGCCCCAATATCCGGTGGGAGGCAGCTAAACTGCCCTGCCCAGATCGGACTCAGGGACGAGGTTTTCAGGAACATTTGGAAAGATGTCCCAAATTCTAGCAACGATCCAGCTCCCTCCATCCCCCACTCCTATCCTGTCACCATGGATCCAAAGGGGCCAGAGGAACACTCTCTTCTAATCCAGGTGGCTTTATCCTTTGATGTTCTAAGCTTCCTAAGTTTGAAGATGCGGTCGGGAGGTCCACTCAGGAGATCGCTGTAGATTACAGGAGTGACCAAATTAATGAGACAGGGCCGTGGAGAGAACCAGAACGAGGCATTCTCGGCCGCTGGCATCCTGACTCTGTGCCTTTGGGAGCACCGTGTCGCTTCCTTTGTTCCTTGATTTAATTTAGCTGATGGCTGATCAGCCCCCCTCGCCCTGGAAGATGATTCTTCTCCTACACGAGTCTCCCTAAAACATGATGCCACGTCCGGGCAGACTCTTTCCGGGATCGGCTGTGGTTCCTCTTCTCAGAGGGGAACGGGCTGAAACGCCCTGCGGCCCCAGTGCTGCGTGGGCTCCAGGCTGTGCCCAGCTCTCTGTGGAGAGGCCCCTTGGGGCCCCGAGGATGTAGGGGGGGAGTGTGAATAGGGAGGGGAGAAGAGTGGCTGTGGCCTGCATACTCCTGGACTTTGCAAATTGAGTGGGAACACCAGAATTGCTTTTCTCCTTCCTGATTTCCAAAATACGTGTAGCCAGATTGTTTTCAGATCTCAAACAGAAAAGCCTCATTAATCATTAATTTGGACCCCCACAGTTGTACAGAACTTGTGACAATTTGTTTATCTTTGAAGGAGCTGCTAAGAAGGAGTTTAGTGAGGAAATTACTGGGGATGGGGAGGAGAGCATTTAACCTTTCACGAAGAAAGACAGGAGTTCTCTTTAGCTTCCCTCTGGGTACAGATGGGGGTGTGTGTGACATCCCTGTCACTCTTGTCTGTCCCTGAGTAGGGTGAGTACTTCCTCA